GTGTCTTTTCATCGAGGAAACTCTCGTCTATAGATGAACTACTGAGAACTCTCTCGTTCTCAGTAAACATTGTTGCTGACCTTATGTCGGCTACACACTCGTCGTCAGCGACGAGTACGCAGATCTGCTTGACTTTGCCACTACGCAGATCACGCAAGAACCTTTTATGTTCGAGCATTGGCAACTGAGTGATCTCCGAAGTCAACTTCGGAGGCGCAATCAGATCGAGTGTATAAGCGCCTACACTTGATCCGTTATTGACTATGACATTCAATGTCTCTGTCATTTCCTGGGGACTTATTCCCTCAGGCCTCGAAGGACTTATTCCTTCGGCTTCCCGGGGAATTATTCCCTCAGGTTTTGGGGAACTTACTTCCGCCGTATTTGTAATATCGGGACTTATTCCCTTAACTTCCTCTAGCTGTGGTTGTGCAACTACAGCGAGATCCTCTACGAAAGACTCTCCAGTCGATCTAGGATTATCGTTTCGCCTAACCTGAGCGATCGATTGTTTCTCTTCTAGATGTTCCCCTTTAGGGATACATCTTTTTCCCGGTCCACTCGACTTATTCGAGTGGTGGACCTTCGGCGCAGCCTGTGTTTCCTCACAGCCGCCGGAACTTTGCTCCGAAGTGTAACCGTTTGGTACACTAAGGTTGTGCAGTCGTACTAACGACCGTACCACAAGTGAGGCCATCGCACACACTCGTAGTACATCCACACGCTTGTGGACGCTCCAAAACGTTCATCAGATGACCATCCGATGAACAAGCGACAGGCATCGTTACTGTTCGATGTTGCCAGTCTACCCGTGGTTCGTACCTTCTGAGCCACGGTATTCCAAGGATGACATCAAATTTGTCATCCAAATCCAATACGATAAAGTCATCGCCATATTGGGTATCTTCTAGCGCATAGTGGATATTCACTATACGCTTCATGACGGTTACGGATGCGCCTGTCGCAAGACGTACCGTTATCCTCGTAGGAGGTGTGTCACATTCAACAAACTTGAAGTGAACATCTTCTAGCGATTGGCGTCGACAAAATTGTTAGACACCCCACAATAGACTAGAGCTCGAAGGGACGACTTATTCGTCACTTTGAGTTTCAAGGTAATGAGTGAGATCTCGTTACCTGGAGCAGCAACGCACAACGTTAGTGTGTTGGGAGCAACCTCCATCAAGAGGCCTACAAATTCTCTTGACGTTGCTGGACCAGTAGGGTGCTCCGCACCTACTGATCCTGTCCGTTTTTGACGGTCCATCTCGTTGTTGCGTCTTTGCGCCAACAGCGGACCCGCGTCCCTGCCCCTTTCTCATGGTGGGCGGTCACTACGCCCAGTGTTGCGAGACACTGGACGAGGGGGCACTACACTCGTAAGCGCAGTGTCCTGTCTTTTGACATCTGTTGCATTTCTGCAACTTCTTGTAGTCTGTAAAGAGAGCCTTCTCGCTCTCTACATAACAGAGTTCCATCGGCTCTGGACCTCTGCTGTCATATCGTCTCGGTTGATGATATGATGTCGAGCTGGCGCGAGCCTGTCTCAGACTGAAGTCTTCCTGTTCCGCAATGGAAATGGCTTGTTCTAGTGAATCTAGTTCAAGTCGGAACAGGTGAGTCTTGACGGGACCATCCGCAAGACCCTGCATGAACACCGAAACCAACGTGTGATCATCAACCGGGTTGGAACTTATACAACTCGTGAGATGTCGTATATGTTGCGCGTAAGCGTGCACATCACGCTTACCCTGTTTAAGCTTCAAGGGTTCGGTTCGAGCTCTGAACTCAGCTCTAGGCGGTTCAAACGTTTGTCTGAGCCGCGACTTGAAGACTTCTAACGACCCAAACGCACATGGGTCGTGCAACTTGAGCCCCAGTGCCCAAGTCTTGGCACGTCCTGCCAGATTTGGTTGGGCAAATACAACTTGCATTTCCCCATCGTCGATGCGAAGCGCCCTTATGGCGTCGTCTAATTCGACAAAACATCTCAAGAGGGAGTCCTCTTCGACCCCCTATACTTAGAGATGTCAATCTTCAAGGGCTCGGGTCGATGCATTCGCGTCGACCCACCAGCAGCAGCATGCTGCTGTCTCAACAGTTCAAACTGTTGAGCACCCTGTTCTCTCAACAACTCTGCTTGTTGAGAACCTTGTTGGTGAAGCAAGGCTACTTTCTCGCGTTCAGCGTCAAGTTCATTTTGAATGAACTTGGCGATAGTAGCATGTTGGGCATCTCTATTGAGATCCTCTAGCATGACGCTAACAGCATGGATGCCCATGGATGAACCCATCCGTTCAACCGCATCCCATTCGACATCGCTCAAATGGGAGTAGCCGTCACGCGTAGTGTGAAAGCTTTGGTCATCTTCATCATCTAACATATTCATGTTAGATGTGAACGTGGTCCTTGGACGGACTACGAAGTGCTACCAGGCGAAACGGGGCACCCTGAAGCTTGTACTGATGACAGTACAAGCTACTTATTCTGAGGACAGAATGAGGTGGTGCCTCGGAACTTCACGTACACTCGTACGTGCAGAGGAAGACGGTAAGAAGAAGCGAGTACTTGATTCAGGTAAAAAGTAGAACTGTATTTATAATAGTTGATGTCTGTTAATAAACCACTGTTTATCCTCATCTAACTATGTCTGAATACAAATGTGCATATCAACTATCTGCTCACCACTCGTTGCGTGCGTCTGTCGTGGCGCGTCTTCGTTGGTTGATATAATGGCCTATATCAACCAATTAGGAACTACTCGTAAGTGCTACAGAATATTTATCCTTATGACAATATTCTGAGAGTACAACTTTTAAAGTTATATTCGATTAACAATTTCTTATAAATTGTTATGTAACGGTTCACCCCGTTACAAATAATCAGCGACGGTGCTTGGGACAGTTCATGGGTCGATGCTATGTCGGCATGCACGATGATCGTGTGCAAACACTGAACTCCAGTAGAGTATATAAGTACGTATCGTGCCATACACAAATCAAAGCGTGCTCTATGAGCCACATGCGACATGTTTGAAGGTAAGAATTGTCATGAAGGACATATGCCTTGTTGGTTTGCTACCAACGTAATTTCACAAGATCTTGGAGACTGTGGCGATTTGTGAGCCATAGTACAGCTTCGATTTGTGAGCCATAGTACAGCTTCTCATCTGGCAGAGAATGACTACAAAAGTCTGCTTGAGCGAAAAAGATATCGTGTTTTGCCGTTAACTATGCAACCGTCCTCGAGACAGAATATATTCTACATTATCATATTTCCTCCCGTGTAGCATAATGACTAGCGAGTTATATCACCACAGTGGCAATTGTGACAATTTGTTAATAGAGACCGATGCACCGTCTCGATGCAGTTTGACAAATGTAGTCGATTCAATGTTTATGCATCTGTACAAAGTGAATCGATTCCTGGGGCTAAGTAGACGGAACGAACCAAAGCCAGCTCGAGCAACAACGCCAGAAAGAACAATGTTGCTTTCAAGCCAGCGAGAAACACATGGATGTTGTTGACCAGGCAAGAAAGTCCTGTTTTTTTCTGACGTGGCACGCAACGACGCATCAGCACGTCAGCTCTTTTCAAAGAGGCTTTTTATGGAGAGTTTGATCGCGGGCCACGATCGCTCTCGAGCCATGACTAGTGTTCCACTCATTCTGTATCTGTACCCAGCATGAACGCCCATGATCACCGTCGGTCGTGTGCAAGCCATCGAAAGTATAATCCATCAACGGCAGTAGCACGTCGTAAAAATATTTGATCTCAAGGAATCACGCTGCCTGGTCGAACGGAAGTCTTTCAGAGCCAACCACTCCCCTCTACTAGTCCCACTGGAGCAGTAGCGCTGACGAGCAGAGGTCAGAGGGGTGCGAAAATGCCGAGGCATATTGTCGTACGGGTTGTACAAACCCTGTAAAGTGGTAGAGTTGGTGGGATGAGAAAAAGGGAGGATGGACGGACAGCTGAAGTAGCAAATATTAAACAACGGATGCGAGTGATGTATTTGCGGCTTCTCATCCACCACTAAAAACGGCCAGCCGACACTCTTCGACAAAGCAGGTGGCCAGTTGTGTACTAGACCTTGTGTAAGCTTTCATAGTCACAACGTTGCTAGTATCGACCTAGATCGAAAGCTGATGTCTCGCCGGGAACCGGTCGACAAATGTACCGTTTCGTAACAGTGCTCTGATTTCTTTACAGTCGCGTAGTGCCAAGTAAATTTTGGCTTTGGCTGATTAATTGCCTTGAACCACCACTCCGTAACATAAATTGCTCGACAATGTATCACCTCATCGATTCATTACTGTACTTTGCTTTCCGTGATCACAATCACATTCTAAGATGGTGCTCGCTACTCTCGTATTAGTCGAAAATGCAGTCTCACCTTGCTTGCAGTCAGCTTGAACATCTCACGAAGACCAACTGGCCGCACTGCATCCGAGAATTGCACCTGCTTGATCAAATAATTGAAGGGGTGTTGAGTAAGCTACACAGCACCTACGATTCGAAGAAGCTGATAAACACGAAACCAGACGGTTTCCGAGCATAGACCAATGTCGCCACTATTTGCCCTCAATCCCCTCAGATTCGACAATCTTTTCTACCTTACCAACACAATCAACACTACCACTGTTTATTCCTCGAGCATGTCTGAACTCATCTTTTTTCAACACTCGGACCACATACATGTAATGATGCGATAGAAGGCTGATAAGGATCCAAGGAGGAAGTCGATTGAATTTAGCTACAAAGCGTCAATTGATATACAGTAGCGACTCCGGTGAAACATCACAATCACGCATGTTTCTCGTTGGCGCGCTTATACTACAGTTCTTGATGAATGGCACGACGACTCCCACTTGTCTCAATTTTATGCACAACGACCTGACATCAACTCATTGGCGTGCCGAAAGTGATTGTAGGCGCAGGTCGATACGACGTTACAAGCCGGTTCATTCAACGATTCTTCAATATATGTTGCTTTCACGCTATGATACACGGGCATAGTGCTGCCGTTCAGCAAACTTGAGACTTGCCATCAAGGATACGACACTCAACGCTATGACTAAGAAGAATACAGACCGAAAGCACTCATCTCCAAGGCACTTTTGGACGCCATCCACAGGCTTGGCCGACAAACTGTAGACAAAGGAGCCAATGGGGCTGTAAAACAGGGGGAAGCCAATGGCGTTAGCAACGCTCATGAGACCAAAGTTCTTGCCAAAGTGACGTGCGCCAAAAGTCTCTCGAGTCAGAACGGGAAAGGTGGCGAACATGACGCCATCAGCAATCCCTGTAAGCGTGATAGGAACCGACAGGTACGCACGCGGAATGACCAGGAACAACGCATGAGTAATGCCAACGAAGATGGAAGCCACACTTACAAAATAGATGCGAGGACAGCTGTCCAGCACGCTGTCAGATATAACACCCGATACAATGCGCCCAAAGCAGTTACCAAAAGAAAACAGCGCCACCAGCGTCGGAATCTGCTCCATTGGGCCGCCCAGGGACTCAACGATGAAGGCGATATTCGCCATAATATATAGAGATGACCCCACTAAGATGAACACGGTAGCAAAGAGCAACCAGAAGCGACAATCGAAACAAACGCCCCAGCTTGTAAGATCGGGCTGCACCATTGGGACAAGATTGCAGTCCGAGTCAGCGTCACACTTCTGTCGATCAGTGATAGGCGACACGGATTCGTCGGGTGGACAACCCGACAAATCGGCCATAGCAGAGTGCATTGTGTCCTCGTTGCTAGGCCGATACAGAGCAACCCAAGCCAGCAGAAAAACGGCGGGCATCAAACATCCCATGAATCGGAAGTACAAAGGGACGTTCCCATCGAAAAAGTGCTTGTACATTCCTGCAAAAAGGGCCCCACCAGCGCTAAACGCTGCAAACTGTAGTGCCATGACTTTGCCGCGGTGCTCAGGTCCATACAAGTCCTCATTGGGTCCCAGTGCGGCAAATACGCCGAAATTAGTGGCTTGTCCGAGGACCACAAAGGCAGACCCTACGCCTAGAGGAGCCATAGCCTCGGGCATCGCTTCCATTCCAGCGTATAGCGTCCAGTAAACAGCAGCAATCAAGACCCCACCCAGTAGAACACTATACTGAGCGCCAATGTGGTCAAAAACAAAGCCGGGACTGACGGAGAAGTACGCGCCGAAGGACGCCATAGCACACACGAGCGAAATGTCCGCCTCGGAGTAGCCCAGCAGCGTCCGCAGCTGCACGTTCCAGACAGAGATGGAGTGGTTCGAGCCCACGCATCCCATGAGCAACGATCCAGCCGCGACACTCGCGAAGCGCAAGCAACGGTCCGAAGGCATGACGCGGATAATTTGATTGGTTCGTCGTGATCGGTATACGTTCGAGGTATGCGTTCGAGGTATACGCTCTGTTCGGTAGGTCCAGCTGTTAAGTGCCTGTACGTCAGACTTGATACATGTATGCAAATGCGACTTGATGATATACTTGTATAGAAACGAAGTCGCGAATGTGTTCAGCTTTGTGCCTGAGCAGCGGGAGGTACACGTTTCTAAACAATACCGCGCTTGGCATTTGCCTGAAGTACGAATGGAAATATGTAGGTTGGAAAGCCTCGTCAATGCCTGTTCCAATGTGAGCGTTTTTGTCAGGCGTTCGACTGCATGTGGAGACAGCCCGCGCGCGGCAGAAAGGCCGACCGTGCACTGTCGGACATGCGGTTCGGTACTTCGCTTGTTCCAGCTCCGTTTATGCACACAAGGGGGGCATAGTGATCGTCATAGACAGATCAAAGACAGGGCGTGGTCTCAAAGTATCCCTGCGCATAAAAAACACGCTTATTGTCTCAATCTACGAAGACCAGAAAAAATGTCTATTGTCCTAAACCGGCTGGCTACACCACGCGATCGCTCGCCACTTGCCGAGCTCGATAAAGTATACAAATAGCTTCTCGCACGAGCCAATCATCGCACCCCGTGAAGCCCCATCCCTGTGTCCGGACCCCGGTATTAATCGTCGAACGTAGCGAGGCAAGAAAGCCAGAACCCATCGACCATTGCTGTAACCGCCACTCATAGCGCTCTCCCTCTCGTCGTCGCCATGAAGGTCCGACGCGGCATTTTTTCGCGACTGCAGCAGACTGTGGGGCTCGTGCTCACCACCAGGGCTTTGGTCTCGGCCAAGACGGCTCCTTCGCTCTACGGTAGGACCTTTTGCCATGTCTTTCGTTCATATATTCTCGCTCTAATGATGGCAATCAACAACCCGAGGAGACACACAAACGCAGTGGCTTACCTAGTTTTTTTGCGCATGCTGTTATAGATTACAAGTACGACGGCACGACCACATACTGCTACTGGATGGACCAGGGTATGCAAGTGTCCAACTTTGACTTTGCCTACGTGCTGGACGAGGGGGTAGGCTCTGCCTGCCCGCTCACCGTCTCGGTTCAGCAGGCCACGGCCAACCCCATCGTTGCGGGCAACGAGGTCGAGTACACCTTTACCGCCACATTGAATCTAAATGACAACGTGTTCAACCTCACGGAGCTGCAGACGACGGTTCCCGACCCCACTTCGGGTCTCCCCATGCAGATTGGTCACGCTAACATTCACACGTGCTCGCGCTCTACAGTGTGCGATATTTTTCGACCCGGCGGCAACCGCAAAATCGTCGACCAAGAAACGTCCAACTTCACTAGCATTGGCACATCTACTTTCCGTCAGAGGATCACGTACGTTAGTCCAGGTGAGCGGAATGTTTTCGCGCACATCATCCTGCCGCCAAAGGATTTTCTGAAGAAGAGTTATCACTTTATCACGTTCCTTACGACAAACGTGGAGGCGAGCACAACGAATGCAGCTGCCGATGACAGCCTAGGCATGTCGACTGGCGTAACGGTGGCCATGATCCTTGGTGGGGTAGCTGTCGTGGTTGCCGTCATCCTCTTGGTCGTGTTCAATCGCCGCAAACGCCGATCTGGGCACGAAACTGACCACTTTCGAAACAGCGGGTTTGACTTGCCCGCTTCTAATTGTGCAAACAAGTCGAAGTCTCATCTGGACTGGAGCGCTGAACCCGACGCAGGGTATCATTCTGGCTGTAAGGACAACTTCACAGCGCACAATTCTCGTGGTCCGGCACTCAATGCCAGTGCTCTCGTTTTTAACGATAGACTTAGCCGTCAAAACAAGACCGTGTCATCGTCAGGGTCTCTTCACTCCAGTCGGGGTCCAGGTGACTCTGGGATCATGTACAGCAACTACGATACCCCGATGCAGCGGTCTGGCAATAACTTTGGTGCTTCGGGACACTCGGGTCGCGACCAGTTCAACCAATCGCAGTCAATGTATCCTGACGACTCAATGTACGAAGGCGAGTCTCGTATTGTCGAAGAAGACTCCGACCTTGAGTATGGACGCACCCCAGACCTCGAGACCTTCGGCATCCAGGCTGGCGATGATGGACCATCTTTTGAAAGTGAGACGTCTATGGGTACGTCATTCGACTTCAATACGAATGATGCGAATTATGCTCAGCCTACATACAATCCACTTATTGGTGGCTATGCACGTGAGTCCGACCTGTCGAGCATGGGCGAAACTGCAGAGTACAACACGTACGACCAGCCACCACGTGGTGACACAATGGATGTCATGCTCACTTCGACGCTTGATGACGATGGAAGGCAAGCCAGTGGAGATCGTAGTAGTTCGGTCTCGTCGATTGGTACTGTGGACTTCACGCTGGACGAGCCTTCTGTTCGCACGCAGAAGCCAGCCAAGTTTGAACCCCTGGATGAGACATTGACAATGTCTGCTATCGCGAAGGCAAAGATGGCTCAACCCGACTGTCCAACCTCCAACGGGTTTGCCAACTCCAACGCCAGCGACAGCGGTGAGTTTGTCATCCATGATAGCAGCACCGTCAATTTCGGGACTTCGAATGCCAGCACCGACTTTGCCAGCACTGCCAGCTCAGACGACATTGACGGCAAGATGAGGTTTGGCAGTACCGTTAACAGTGTGAGCAAGTATGGTGGAAGCTTTGCCAACACTGCGGACATCGTTGGGTCTTCCGATTTTGGAGCCAGCGGCGTCACTGACATTGTCGCAAAATCTGAATTCAGCGGCAGTCGTACTGGTGACTGCACAAAGCCAAGCAGTTTTAGTGACTATGACGAAGGGGGCAGCTTCAGTAGCGACTTGGAGGGATCTAGCTTTAGCTCTGGTCTCAGTGGTTCCAGCTATGGCGCCAATGAACCTGGCAGCAGCTATGGTGTTGAACTGGGTAACGGAACGAACGTGACGGGATCGGCATTTCAAGCGACCAACCTGGACAATGGTTTCGGCGACACGCAGTCAACTTACGATTTCCATGACAAGTCGTACTGCGCCGCCGACTCGTTTGCCACAACAGCGTCGGACGATGACTCAACAGATGTTGGGGCCCTCCGCGCGAGACGCGTATCTTCGGCTGATGGTGAGAGCTACGAGTTCTAGACCTACTCGTGGCGGGTAGCTGACTTTTGCAGCCTTCTTGACGGATGTGATTGCCAGCGGAAAGATTGCGGGTGGATGTGACGGCGCTCCTGCCAGTTGCTTCGATAGAGGACGGGAACGGCGTAGACGTATCGGACACCTGCAGTGCTTGTCGTCTCACGGTTTTTTCAGGGCGGATGTTGGATTTGTAAATCTCGTTCAGCTGTGAGTACGTGTTATCAAGAGAACTGTGGACTGAAACACGTAGACGACAGTGCTGTAGCGTACTTTATTTTGATCTCATGTATCTTTGAGAGTGTTCACGTCTTATCGATTCACGTTCAACCGAGTTGTTGCAAAGTTGATCAGTGTCTTTGAACCACACTTATGATCCGACTGTTGAACCAAGTTGATAAGGAGGGTCCGCGTTTGTGTAAAAATTATTGCATTTGGATTGGGCTCAACCCAGATACAAGAACATGATCTAGCAGTTTCTGGTAGAATTATCAAGGCAAGAGGGAGTATCGAGGATATTCCTTACGTGCGTAATCCCTTAAAAGATTAGGGCAAACTCACTGAAGGCTAATGGAACGTCCTCCAATTCTGGCATGAGGTGGCCAATCGCTCAACGTACGCACGTACAATCACATTTTTTCGAGTCAAGTGCCCAGGTGAAAAGCACGACGCTTCATGTCGATTGTCGCCGATAAGGCAAACTGTGCAAAAAGTGACAAAACTTCCGATGTGCGAACATGTCCTACTGTGTAAGGACGATAGCTTCCGGACTTACGCAGGGGTCGACAACCAGTAAAGTTACTTACGTTAGTTATCAGGTCACCATGAAAATGTCGTTCACCACGTTCCTGCTGCGTTGCATTGAGATCACGTCATGTCAGCGAGGCAAGATAGACAGTAGTGGTATCCAGGACACACTACTAACATGGCACTGTTTTGCGCTTTTCGAGTTTTTTTTTGCGTCGTTAGCTGTAAGATGAAACAACCTGGACGTTCTGCTAGCGGTTCGACGAGAGAAAAAAATAAAGTGGCGTGACAGTATGGCCATACAGGTAATATAGTCTGACCGAGGATGGATGGAGCTGCTAGCAGAAAGATCTGCAGAACAGAAGGCGCATAGCTGTTGTTGACACTTCTGTCAGACTGCCACGGAGTCAATCTCTAGATCATCACAGTAACAAGCTGCTGTCCACCGCAAGCGTTTATCCATCGTAATTCACTGGCTTGTCGACCTGCGCTTCTCTATCGCGTAGTATGAAAGCGAAGGACGCTACTATGTCGAGTAGACTAAGTTAATACAGCGACTGTCTGAGAGTACAGCATGATCGACTTTTACGAAACCGGGTGAGGTGTGTAAGACTTCGTCTGGGACTCTGTACTGTGTGGTAACATCGAATCATGCAAGATATTTGCCTCTGAGTAACAATGGACTCGTGTACGAGATATCACACGCTGACCTGGCGAATAACGGGCAAAAGTGACTCTTCTTCTTCTTCTTGTTGTGTGAACCTTTTGGCTCAGCTGCCATCATAGCAGAAAACAGTGCACCTTATATTGCAAGTACTACGCACTCCTTCCACTTCTGACTAACGATCGTGTACATGTACATCTTGGGCACGGAAAAAGAAGCGTGAAGGTTGTATATCTTGTCTTCAGACTTTCCAGCAGCTTCGAGTCTCGTTCAAAGACCAAGAAATCGTAGAAACTTCGGGGAATATTGACAAAAGGCACAGGAAGAAGAATGCAACCGGTGTGTTCAGCGGTCAGCATTTTCATTGTTTACCACCTTCACCCCAAAAGCAAGCCTTGGCACATGTTAGCAAGCGCAGAGCAAAGTATAACGTTTGCTAAACACCTGTGCATTTGACTTGCACCTTAACGAATTCGAGACCCATGCAGTCAGCTGACATCGCCCCAACAGTGCTGGCGTCTGCGCGTGCTGCGTCTGGAACGAACAGGCCCTGACCATTCGACTGTACTGATCCACATCTAGTAAGGTGTCACTATTGTCACACTCCTCGTTAAAGAGGAAAAAAGTTGTGTTAGCCGGCAGCGAGAGACGCAACCCACGCGAGAACACGCGCCCGAGCTTGGCTTCCACTTGCGCTAGCGCTGCATCGGATTCAGTAATCACGTTCACTGCCAAAATACCACTTGGAACAAGTACACGCTTTGCTGCACTCAGAAAATTTGCTTCGAGCATTGCAGACGGTGGTGCTCTTACACCAGCACAGCTTTCACCAGTTTCGACATCCAGCACCAACAGGTCAAATGCAGCACCCTCTTTTTGCTCCGCAAGATAATTCTCGCCGGTTTTTTCATGGATCACGAGTCGTTGGTCACGCTTTAAGGCTGAAGTAACCCCAAAAAAGCGTTTTGCTATGGCGTTCACCCGATGGCTTGGCTCGACAGCGTCGAGTCGCTCGAGCTCGTGGGGCGAGAAATGTTCTAGAAGGAACAGCGGGAGCGTACACGCTCCAGCTCCCAAGATACACAAACGCATTGGTTTAGACTTCCTGTCACGCTCGGGAAGCCAGGCGAGAGGCGTGCACAGCGCGCGATGCACCTCAAGAGCCAAAGTCGTCCGATCGAAGTCTGGCTCGGTGTCATCATGAATGTCCGGCATTCGAAAGAGGGACACTTCACTCTGTGTTAGCTGCAGCCGGTCATTGAACACGAAGCTACGAGAGGGTCCATCGACCATACTATCGAGCACCGTGACCTCGTCGTCACTGAAAACCACTCGTCTCGAAAACTTGTCGAAAAACTCGGCCTTATACTGCGCCACCACCTCCGGCTCGACTTCTCGCAAGTCACGCAGCATTTTCTGTAGCTCCTCGTATGTAAAGTTTTCACCTGATCTGTGGATCTAGAGCAACAAAAGTCAATGAGTCACGTTTTCTAGTCATCTTAACGTCACCATGAAACCCACACTTCGTCTCACCTCATGAATAATTACTTCCGGCATCACGTCATCAAATGAATGCCCAGAATCGTCTTCTTGTCCATCTCCTTGGGCGTCCACAACACGAATCCCTTCACAGTCCTTAGCTGCAAGTCGCCAATCATAGTCCGACACGAGATGCTGTGGCCACCACGGAAACGTCCGACACTGAGTCGGCCTCGCTTTGTACACAGAGCACTTTGATCCATTCAAGAAAATGCACTGGCGGTCGTCAGGCGTCTGTTTCAGCACCAAGCGCGTCTTTTTGGCGCCAGCAGCGTCTTCGTCGACAATGGCGCGCGTATAACTCCGCTCGAACGCCGCTCGCGACAAGTTTGTAGCGTCTGCTAGATCCTGCAGCTCTCTGTCGTTCACACGGACGCGTCCGCCGCGGCCTGTGCAGCATTTGCCGCACTCGGTGCAGCGAAAACGCAGTCGGACCTCCTCGCGACTCGAGGACCAGCTCTGGACGTGACGTGCGACTCGCTTCATTTTAAGTGGTAGTTATTCAGGTGCCACTCTCGTCAATGATCCCGTCATTTCAACCAATCACGTGGCTCGATCACTTCACGCGAGTCATTTGACAAGCAGACACATGTACTCGAGTCTGAGGTGCAGACGCCTCCTGCTTCGGCAGCGTGCTGGGCTGGCCACGCTCTCTATATGCGACAAGCGCATGGCCCTTTGGACGCGAGAGATGGAGAGGCAGCAGGAGGTACTGAGTCAAGCGACGGAGCGCGCAGAGAGTCGAGCAGAACCGCTGGAGCTGACGGTCGAGTATCCTGGGACGACGCCCGGCACCTTTGCCTTTCGAGGCGTGATAGGCGCGTCCACGTCCATCGACGTGCTGAAGCAGATGCACGAGATGGGACTCCCTAGATTCCAAGCACTGGCTGCGAAGAGTCGAGGCGAGGTGCTGGATCTGCGTACGCCGTTGCAACAGTCAGGCTCGCTGCAGTTGCTCGAGTACGAGACAGTTGAGAGAGCCAGGAAGTGGGAGGACTTATGTACTAATGTTTCTATGGGATTTATGTTGTGTCGGTGAGTGCAGTTTCTCGAGTGATGAAGGCAAGAGCGTGTTTTGGCACTCGTCGGCACACGTTCTAGGACAGGTGCAATGAGGCTGTACACGAAGTGAATATGGTAGAAAGTTTCTAACGAATTGTGTGCTGGTATTGCTGCTTGAATTGTGGATAATACTTAACAGGCACTAGAGAACAAGTTTCAAGACAAGATTCGGCTGACGGACGGCCCTGCGTTGAGTGAAGGAGGCTTCTTTTACGAAATGTTCCTGCAGGATGGCGGCACTGTATCAGAAACGGACTTTGACGAGATTGCACGCAATGTGAAGAAGATCGTCAAGGCTAGACAACCATTTGAGCGGCTACAGGTGACGCGTGCGTTTGCAGACGAGCTGTTTGCTTACTCGGACTTCAAACGGGATATGCTGCATAAAGTTCCGGAGGGAGAGGCGATATCGCTTTACCGTTGTGGGCCACTCATTGATTTGTGTCGTGGCCCTCACGTCCCCCATACTGGTACGTAAGCTGCGTGTAATTTCTGTTGCTGGACTGTTGCCTGCTTTACACAAGCGGAAAGGGTGGAAAGTAGCTGAGACGTGAGCGCTCCATTCTACTTTTCTGCTCTCGGAATGATCTTCCACCTAGTCCTACATTATCGTTGCATATCGAACGACTCCCCGCTCTACCATTGAGTGCCGGTGAGCTACACGTGGGCACACATCGCATTGATCGTAGCGTATACTGTTTACGTGAGACTGAGCACGTGCTTTCTTCATTTTTGTTCGACAGGCGTGCTGTCGTCATTCCAGATAACGCGATGCGGTGCGTCGCACTGGGAGGGAAAGGAGTTATTGCAGCGCGTTTACGCTATATCGTTTCCCGATAACACGCAGCTTAAGGAGTGGCGTCACCTCCAGGAAGAAGCGAAGAAGCGGGATCATCGCATCATCGGCCGCACCCAGCAGCTCTTCATGTTTCACCCACTAAGTCCTGGATCGTTGTTCTTCTTGCCTCATGGCACGCGAATATTCAATACGCTTGCCGATTTTATCCGCGGTGAGTATCGCCGGCGTGGTTACGAGGAGGTAATTACTCCTTTGATTTACAAGAAAGAGTTGTGGGAAACGTCAGGTCATCTCAAGAACTACCACGATGACATGTTCATGGTTTCTCAAGGTACCAGCACAGGTGACGAGAAGGAGTCGTGCGAAGGGCACGATCACGCTAAAGATGAGTACGACCAGTTCGGACTGAAACCTATGAACTGCCCAGGGCACTGCTTAATATTTCGCGAAGCGAGGAAGTACTCATATCGGGACCTGCCTGTTCGTCTGGCTGATTTTTCGGCACTTCATCGTAACGAAGCATCTGGCGCACTGTCGGGACTTACCCGCGTTCGCCGTTTTCACCAGGATGATGCGCACATTTTTTGCACAGCTTCCCAGGTGCAATCGGAGATTTCTCATGCTCTCGATTTCGTCAAGCACGTGTATGGCATTTTTGGTTTCGAGTTCAATCTGCGTCTCTCGACGCGTCCGGAGAAGTACATGGGTGAGCTCGAGCTCTGGGATGACGCAGAGGATCAGCTGCGTTTAGCCCTGGACGACTTTGGCCAACCCTGGAGTGTCAACGACGGCGACGGTGCATTCTACGGCCCAAAGATTGACATCGTAGTGACGGATGCCCTAAAGCGACAGCACCAGTGTGGTACGATCCAGCTGGACTTTCAACTACCGATCAAGTTCGAGCTCGAATACAACGGTGCTGATGGCGAACCTCACACTCCTATTATCATCCACCGTGCCGTCTTGGGATCAATTGAGCGGATGATGGCCATCCTCATCGAGCACACTGGTGGCAAGTGGCCGCTGTGGCTCAGTCCCAGACAGGTAGCGGTACTACCGATTGCTAAAGCACACCGCGAGTATGCTAATGAGGTAGCAAGTGAGTTGCAGAAGGCCACCCCACGCGGTTTGTTTGTCGAAGTTCAAGATGACAGCAAGACCCTCAACAAGCGTGTCCGTGAGGCACAGGTTGCAGGCTTCAACTACATTCTTGTTGTAGGTGACAAAGAACAGGCCGCAAAGGAAGTCAACATTCGCACGCGTGACAATCAAGTTCACGGCGCTAAGCCTCTTGTTGACTTTGTCAATGACATCAAGGCCGTTATCGGTCGTCTAGAGTAGAAACGTAGGGGCAGCTAGTAACAATAGCTTCATTGGACAGCATGGAGAATACACCCAAAGTGGACTGTACTGCCGCTACATGGAATACCAATCGTGTTGTACGACGACTTGTAGGCATTCTCGGTGCCTCGGATTCAACATCGACTAAAATCTTGCCAGCAACAAGCTGGTCAATGCCTGGCTGCCGCCTCGACACCGGACAGCAAACGATGCACCCTAGCGAAGTCCACCTACTGCTGCACCTTGAAACAATTCAAATCCACTTGTGGTCGCTACTCCCGGATAGATGTGCCAAAAGATGCAGCGCGAAGAGTTGGCATTTGAGTTGCACATTCCCGAACATGTTCTCAGGATCCACTTATACCGCAGCACGCCCAAAGCGACCCATATTTGGAGCCAAATCATATCCATCGAAACACGCATAATAACACTTCGACCACCGATCAAATTATCCGACATAGCTCCAGCTCCCACTTCAACTGACTAAATCGTGCATCACAGTATCTGATTAACGGGTACGTCCAATGCATCCGCAAATGCTTTTAGAACAGGTGTTGCATGGCTGTCGTCAGCTCGTGTTGTGAAATGTTTGGTTAAATCCTTTAACGAGCGCAACCCTTATTGTTAGTTACTAATTTATTATAAAAATAAAAGTACTCTAATGAAAAAATTAATGATAGGTTAATGGAAGGTGGGGATGACGTCAAGTCTTCATGGCCCTCATGAGTTGGGCTACACACGTGCTACAATGATAATTACAATGAGAGGCAATAATTTTAAAGTTGGAGCAAATCTTTAAAAATTATCTGCGGTCTCTATCACTCCATGTCTAATTTATAAGCAAAGACGGCATTCACATCGTTCGATTCAACGTCCCACGAACTCCAAACGCGACTTCGTAGACATCTCACGACCCACTCGACCAGGTCTTTGCCCACCCACCAACATTTTGACCTGAAAAGTGCCCGTGAGAGCTCTTGGCATCGCCAAATGTCTCCGTACAGTCGAAAAGAGCGCCACGTTTAGAGCTGGTGGTGGCGGCAGGCGTCCGTGCGACGTTTCACAATTGTGTGACTCCTATGCCTGTCAGTATAGAAATCGCGCTGTCCGCACCAAGTCTCACAGTGCATACATTTGACTGCGTCATATCCATCTTTCGGTATGATCATATTGTCAGAGGGATAATATCCACATCCAGAACTCCTGTCGGATATTTAGCACACTCATGTGCAAGAAAAAGGCTTTGTCAAATATCCAAAATTAATGACGTCAAAATCAACTATGACGTTCGGCATTTTTTGACGTGTGAAGAAGTTCCATCTGCACGAAATGTCAGTGTCGCTGGACCAGTCGACGGATGCAGAGTTCGTGCGCTTCGTAGCTCGTTTCTGTGGTGTGAACTTGAGCTCAGCCGCCTCGGGTCGTCTGCGTGTACGATTCAGCAACTCCATGGAGCTGCATGAGCCCACAACCATCGCCAAGTACCTCACGCGCTGGGCCAATCGCGAGCACGAGCTGCTGGGCGAGACGGCTTTCGAGCGTGCCCTAGTGGCCATGTGGCTGGACTTTGCGCACCGACTCCAGCACTGTACGTCCTCCCAGGCGTTCGCACTCTGGAAGGTGCTGGAGAACTCGTTGCAGCAGAAAACGTACCTAGTGGGCAACCGCGTGACGCTCGCGGACGCCGCGCTTTTCTACGTGCTGCACGGAAGTATCAGCAGCTTCCAGTCCGTGCAGCAAAAGCAGTTTGTCAATCTCGTGCGCTGGTTCGACCAGGTGCAACACACGGCAGGCGTGCGTGGCTTTCGTGACCTTGAGGTCATTAAGTTCGAGCACAAACCCTTCGCGTTTACAGCGTAGAAAGAGGTCAAGGCAGGAGGACGAACACCAGTAGCAGGCGCGTATGCTTTCGTGAGTCTGAGCTGCTCGAGTAGAACGAAATGACACGTGCAAGCGGAATATAGCTCTTCTGCTCGTACATTCAGCTGAAGCGCTACCTAGTCGACGTCTTCCGCTTCTTGTTGGCACTCTGACGCTGCTGCTTCTCGCTGATCTTCTTGGCGAGCGACTTCTTCGCTTCCTCTCCCTTGTTCCAGTACTGTCCATCACGCTGACGAAAGCTGGCCTTTGGCGCACTTCCAACGGCGTCCAGACTGATGAGCACCATTCGGTCGCCTATCTTCATGCCGCTGCGACGAGCAGCAGCCAGTGCTTCGTCCTCGCTCGAGAACTCGACGTACCCAAAGCCTTTAAGCTTCTGCGTGTGATTCCAAATCGGCAATCGCACACTCGTGATAGTGCCACACGAAGCCAGTGCCTCACGAATCGTGTCCTCCTCCACCTCGTACGGAAGCTGCTTAATGTAGACTGTACGACACCCTTTGATCGCCTTCTTTGTCGCGTTCTGGTTCTTCTCTTTTAACGCCATTTCCACAGCACGTGGAGCTTCTGCTCGTTGAATCGACAAGTAGCGCTGAAACAGGTAGGACTTATCCAGCAGCAGCGCTTTCTCGAGCGTCACCTCGTCATCAAACACCACGTGCGCATAGCCCCGAGGCTTGCCCGAGTCCTGATAGCGCGGCATACGCACTTCACGCACCGTTCCGCAAGATGCAAAGTGCGTCACCAAGTCGCTCTCAGTAGCTCGGTACGGAATCCCTTCGACGTAGACTGTCGCCTCGGTCTTCCGGTCGATCTCCTCCTTCAACTGCCCGTCCTCTTCACCTTGTGGCTGTTCCTCCTCCTCTGTCTTCTTGTCCTTCTTCTTCTGCTTTCTCTCTTCCTGCACAGCGCCCCTCCTCTGACCTTCAGCTTCTCTTTCGCGCTGCTCTAAACGCTCCGATTCCGCTTTCGTCTCTCGCTTCGCAGCGGGGCGGAACATGGCGTTCGCCACCTCTTCATCATCGCTATCACTGCCACTTTCACTGCAGCTTCCAGAGGACGTAGAAAGAGCTGATGCCTCGAGAGCCGCGGCCTTGGCGTCGGCATCGCGGCTGCGCTTCTTGCTCTTCACTGACGTGGACGTCATTACAACGGTTGAATGAAGTCGTGGTGTCCAGCAGCTCTGCCCAGTCAATTTGACTCGTTATGATTGGTTAAAAAACCGTTCTTCTGCTTTGGTCATCAAGGGGATGGCAGTCTTTCGAAAACAGGCGCACAGCATGAGCTCGGACGAGGACGTGACGCTATACAGCGCGTTGGACCGCAATCAGAAGCGACAGATGATGGGTGCGTCAGGTGTACAACTGTGTCTGGTTCTGCTTATGCTTTGTCTATTGCACGAGGCGTTTAATAGCTGGACCGTTACTAATTAACCTCGAACGCTGTCAACCTCGTGGATTCTCAGTGTCGCTCTCGTCTTCATCCGATGAAAACGGCAATGACGACGACAATTCCGAAGGTTTTTCGGTTTTAGAAACACCTGTTAAGAGACGGCGATATCGCGTGTCACTTGACACAGCTGCGAAGAGTGGCGAAAGTCTGGATAGAGAAGGTGTTTGTGAAGTGGATACGGTGAAGAGGCCAGGGCATGCTTCTGTTACGTTGACGATCCTGCAATTGGTGCTCTCGTGGTAGGAAAAGGACCAGTACCACTGCATAGCAGTGACGAAGACAACGATGTGGACTCGCCAAGCGAGAAAGAGGCGGAACGTCAGCGCAAACTGCAGCTTGAGCGCGAGATTCGGCAGAAATTAGACAATGACAAAGTGTTGAATCAGACCCGAGCTATCATGGACAAAGTGTTGTTCACGAAACGACAGACAACAGTAGACAACTCGGAAGTGATCTCGCTGGACTCTGACTCATGTGACGATAGCGATGGTGCTAATCAATTCGAGGCCGTTGTGCTTCCATCTCCGAAACTTGCACAAGAAGCCCGGGTTGTGTTTCGTGTCCGTTCTAATGGTGGCGCGGTTGATGAAATTGCTATCCTCAAGGTAGGCGGTTTTGGCACGAGGTGGTCGTGAGGATAGAATCCATAATCAGGGTGTTGTTTATGTTTTTAGAAGGACACTTTCGAGCAGCTGTATGTGAGCTTTTGTGAGCTACACGGATTACCGCGAACGGCAGTCACAATGTCGCTGCACGAGAAGGCTTTGGCACCTGAGGCTTGTGTTGGTGGCACTCTCTTGGATTTCGACAACTTCATTGAAGCTAACGTGGACTTCTCGAAGCAAGTTGAGTCAAAGAAGAAACGGTATTTGCGCTTGCGATTGGTGGTGTTTGGTCGACGATCCGAGGTGTACAAGATCGATTCGGTACGTGCATAAAACTTGATTGTGAGTCGTCCATCGATATCAGCTATGAATAGCTTGATGCCAACTTGAAACAGACGGCAACGATCCAGAAACTACATACGAGTTACTGTAAGCGGCACGACATCGCCGACCCGGATAATGTCGTCATGATTATGCGAAATCAGGAGCTTCGGCTGAACGAACGCCTTGATTTCTACGGGCTCATTGACCATGACGAAATTTCAGTCAAGTTTGGCGACAGTCTCGTATCACGCCAAACAATTGCGCTACAATTGCGGTTCGGGGAAGATGATTCGGAAGTGCATCACGTTATTCCGGTTCGTGACGCTAGTTTGGTAGTGTTTATGCTGACCAGTATGGGTCACTGATGTTTGTAAATTATGCAGGGTGCTAAGGTTAAGGTGCTGCTAGCTAAGATTGCGAAACTGAAAGGAAGCGAGGCCTCCAAGATATCACTTACGATTGACGGAGAGGAGATGACAGCATCGCAAACCTTTACGGTCAGTGGCAGCAGGTCGAGTTACATCTGTGCACTATTCGCTCACGGTTGACTGGTTGTGACTTTTTTTATCAGAGCTACGATTTAGAGGGCGGCGAATTGATCGAAGTCAAGATCGCGTCTTGACAATGCGAACGTGTGATGAATTGCTCCCGCAGCCCGGCCGACTGTAAAGTACCTGTCAATTTATCTTGAACCTGGCATTCATCCGCCTTGCCATATCACGCTTTGACTGCGTTTGGTGATGTCGGCATTCGCTGTTGCTCCTTGTGCTTTACCTTTGACAGCAGCATAACCAGCAGTAGTGCCATGATATGAGCCGCCATCAATCCTCCATACCAAAATGGAGCCCACGGAGTATTGAGCTCAAGGAATGGGTACGGCCAAAATCCTTTCGCCACTGTTCCATGGACAATCCAGGCAAAGACGGCGTACACTGAAGGCCAGCCCATGACTAGTGGCAAAGCATCTTTTGACACAAAGTGCTTTGTAGCGAGGAAGTCCGTCTGCAGCAGCAAGACGTTGGCACCATGCTGGCAGTAGCTCACTGCGTTCAGGATCATCTCTGGATGTCCCGCCTTGCGTGCGTATGGGTACAACACCGTCCATACGACGGTGAAAATGAGTAACGAGGCAGCAAGACACACGTCCAGTAGTAACTCGAGGTCAATCCACTGCTGTCCGCTGGCTCGGACCACTCTCCTGCGATTGGTCGAGACGCTATCAGTACCGTCGTCGTCTCCGTCGATTAGCGCCATGTAACTTGCCGATCTCTCATCGACTTGGCGCTGCAATTGGCGTCCAGTGCATCTCGCAGCTTCAAAGAAGTATACACCTTGTAGGACGAAATTCCACGATGTATAAAAGGCCAAACAGCGGCCTCCCGAGCGCCAAACGTCCCAGAGCTGAATCAGCAGGAAGAAAGTGGCGGCGCTGGCTCGGAATGCCAGTAAAGCGCGGAGAGACCAGCAACCACGAGGATGTAGGAGCGCGATGGGTCCACTGAAGAGAGGGCGGCGGTCAACACGTCCGGAGCGTTTCGTTGCCAGCCAAAATGATGTACACAGGGCTGCCACGAGCTCTGACGCCACCACTAAAGACGTCCATTCCTGCGGCATTCTTCCGGATAAAGATTCGGAGTCGTATTGATTGGACGAAATAGTGGCATCGAAGTTGAAGCTCGCTTGAACCACAATAAATGGCAGTGCGAAAGACTTGGATGAGAAAGAGCTGCGACTTGGTCAAATATGTCCAGGAATGCAAAAAACGAAGATGATGGCTTGATAGGCCAACGGACCGACAGGGGGTAAAGCACAACCTGCACGGTGACGAGGGTAAAACCCGCACGGTTTACTACGATCGCACGATTCTATTGTAATTAGTTTCTGTGCCACATGCATTGTAACGGGGTGAATCGTTACATAACAATTTATAAGAAATTGTTAATAGAATATAACTATAAGAGTTATATTCTCAGAATATTGTCATAAGGACAATATTCTGTAGCACTTCCAAGTAGTTCCTAATTGGTTGATATAGGCCATTATATCAACCAACGAAGACGCGCCACGACAGACGCACGCAATGAGTGGTGAGCAGATAACTGATTTACACATTTGTATTTAGACATAGTTAGATGAAGATAAATAGTGATTTATTGCAGACATTAACTATTATAAATACAGTTCTACTTTTTACTCTAACCGAGTACTCGCTTCTTCTTACCGTCTTCCTCTGCACGTACGAGTGTACGTGAAGTTACGAGGCACCGCCTTATTCTGTTATCAGAACAAGTAGCTTGTACTGTCACCAGTACAAGCTTCAGGGTGCCCCGTTACACCTGGTAGCACTTTGTAGTCCGTCCAAGGACCACGTTCACATCTAACATGAATATGTTAGATGATGAAGATGACCAAAGCTTTCACGCTACGCGTGACGGCTACTCCCATTTGAGCGATGTCGAATGGGATGCGGTTGAACGGATGTGTTCAACCATGGGCATCCATGCTGTTAGCGTCATGCTAGAGGCTCTCAATAGAGATGCCCAACATGCTACTATCGCCAAGTTCATTCAAAATGAACTTGACGCAGAACGCGAGAAAGTAGCCTTGCTTCACCAACAAGGTTCTCAACAAGCAGAGTTGTTGAGAGAACAAGGTGCTCAACAGTTTGAACTGTTGAGACAGCAGCAGGCTGCTGCTGGCGGGTCGATGCACTCGCGTCGGCCCGAGACTTTGAAGATTGACATCTCAAAGTATAGGGGGTCGAAGAAGACTCCCTCTTGAGATGGTTCGTCGAATTGGATGACGCCATAAGGGCGCGTCGCATCGACGACGGGGATATGCAAGTTGCATTTGCCCAGTCAAATCTGGCAGGACGTGCCAAGACTTGGGCACTGGGGCTCAAGCTGCACGACCCATACGCGTTTGGGTCGTTGGAATTCTTCAAGTCGCGGCTCAGACAAACGTTTGAACCGCCTAGAGCTGAGTTCAGAGCTCGAACCGAACTCTTGAAGCTCAAGCAGGGTAAGCGTGATGTGCACGCTTACGCTCAACATATACGACATCTCACGAGTTGTATAAGTTCCAATCCGGTGGATGAACACACGTTGGTTTCGGTGTTCATGCAGGGTCTTGCGGATGGTCCCGTCAAGACTCACCTGTTCCGGCTTGAACTAGATTCACTAGAACAAGCCATTTCCATTGCGGAGCAGGAAGACTTCAGTCTGAGACAGGCTCGCGCCAGCTCGACATCATATCGTCAACCGAGACGATATGACAACGGAGGTCCAGAGCCGATGGAACTCTGTTATGTAGAGAGCGAGAAGGCTCGCTCTACAGGCTACAAGAAGTTGCAGAGATGCAACAGATGTCAAAAGACAGGACACTACGCTTACGAGTGTAGTGCCCCTCGTCCAGTGTCTCGCGACACTGGGCGTAGTGACCGTCCACCCATGAGAAAGGGGCAGGGACGAGGGTCCGCAGTTGGTGCAAAGACGCAACAACGGGATGGACCGTCAAAAAACGGACAGGATCAGTAGGTGCGGAGCACCCTACTGATCCAGCAACGTCAAGAGAATTTGTAGGCCTCTTGATGAAGGTTGCTCCCAACACACAGACATTGTGCGTTGCTGCTCTAGGTAATGAGATCTCACTCATTACCTTGAAACTCGAAGTGACGAATAAGTTGTCCCTTCGAGCTCTAGTCGATTGTGGGGCGTCCAACAACTTTTTGTGCGACGCCAATCGCTAGAAGATGGTCACTTTAAATTCAGTGAATGTGACACACCTCCTACGAGGATGACGGTACGTCTTGCGACAGGCGCATCCGTAACCGTCATGAAGCGTATAGTGAAGATTCACTATACGCTAGAAGATACCCAATACGACGATGACTTTATCGTATTGGATTTGGATGACAAATTTGATGTCATCCTTGGAATACCGTGGCTCAGAAGGTACGAACCACGGGTAAACTGGCAACATCGGACAGTAACGATGCCTGCCGCTTGTTCATCAGATGGCCATCTGATGAACGTTTTGGAGAGTCCACAAGCGTGTGGATGTACTACGAGTGAGTGCGATGGCCTCACTTGTGGTACGGTCGTTAGTACGACTGCACAAAACCTTAGTGTACCAAACGGTTACACTTCGGAGCAAAGTTCCGGCGGCTGTGAGGAAACACAGGCTGCGCCGAAGGTCCACCACTCGAATAAGTCGGGTGGACTGGGACAAAGATGTATCCCTAGCGGGGAACATCTAGAAGAGAAACAATCGATCGCTCAGGTTAAGCGAAACGATAATCCTAGATCGACTGGAGAGTCTTTCGTAGAGGATCTCGCTGTGGTTGCGCAACCCCAGCTAGAGGAAGTAAAGGGAATAAGTCCCAAGATTACAAATACGGCGGAAATAAGTTCCCCGAAACCCGCGGGAATAAGTCCCCGGGAAGACGAAGGAATAAGTCCTTCGAAGCCTGAGGGAATAAGTCCCCAGGAAATGACAGAGACATTGAATGTCATAGTCAATAACGGATCATGTGTAGGCGCTTATATACTTGATCTGATTGCGCCTCCGAAGTTAACTTCGGAGATCACTCAGTTGCCAACGCTCGAACATAAAAGATTCTTGCGTGATCTGCGTAGTGGCAAAGTCAAGCAGATCTGCATACTCGTCGCTGAAGACGAGTATGTAACCGACATAAGGTCAGCAACAGTGTTTACTGAGAACGAGAGAGTTCTCAGTAGTTCATCTATGGACGAGAGTGTCCTAGATGAAAAGACACGAATTGAGCGATATGACTCCCAATCATGGGAATCGCTCAAGGAAAATCCTCTCTATGAAGATTTGGTTGAATTCAAGGATGTATTCCCTGAAACTGTTCCGTGCGAATTACCGAAGGATAAAGGTATTCGACACGAAGTCGAGCTTAAACCAGGCTCGAAGTACTGTGTCATGAAGCAGTGGCCACTGCCTCGTGAACAAGTACTTGCGATCGACAAGTTCTTTGCCGATCGTTTAGCAGCGGGCCATGTGAGGGAATCAACTTCCCCACATAGCTCTCCGACCTTCTGTGTGCGAAAAGCAACAGGAGGGTGGCGGATAGTGCACGCGTTTAACAAATTGAACGCTGCAACGGTACCGGCTCAGACGCCGATACCGAGGAAGGACGTAATCATTGATGGTATGTCAAAGAGTACCGTCTTTTCGTCCATGGATTTGATGGATGTCTTCTATCAAATCCTAATGCGGGAACGGGATATACCCTATACCGCAGTTAGCACGCCTAGCGGCATGCTCTGGGAATGGCTAGTAATGCCACAAGGGCTCAGTAATGCCCCTGCCACGTTCAACAGGTGTGTATCACATCTGTTGAGGCCAGTACGAGAATTCGCGCCGAGTTATTTCGATGACGTATTCATCCATAGTCGAGCTATGGATGGAAAGTCGGACGTTGAGGTTCACAAGTACCACGTCCGACAAGTTCTTACAATCATGCGAAAGCATCAATTGTATGCAAACCTCAAGAAGTGTATTTTTGCAGCAAGCGAAATACCACTTCTTGGGTGCATCGTTGGTAAGAACGGTGTACGTCCTGATCCCGAAAAGATCAAGGCGATCACCGACTGGCCCGTGCCGGTCGATGTCAAAGGTCTTCGAAAATTCCTTGGGCTAGCGGCGTATTTGCATAAGTATTCACGCAATTACGCCGAGATGACTGTACACCTCTCTCGTTTGTTGAAAAAGAACGAGAGGTGGTTATGGAACGCTGAATGTCAACGCTCCTTTGAGGGTATCAAGCAGAGCTTGATACAGTCCCCAGTCCTAGCAATAGCCGATCAGGACAGGCCATTTCATGTGGTCTGTGATGCCAGCGATTTCGCAATCGGCTGTGCATTAATGCAGTACGATCTTGAAGGCGTTGAACGCGTCGTCTGCTATCAGTCGCGTCAGCTGCAACCAGCTGAGCGGAACTATCCAGTGTATGACAAGGAACTCCTTGCCATGAAGTATGCACTCGCGAAGTTCAGAGTCTATCTATTAGGAGATAGACCCTTCGTTGTTTACACTGACCATGCGTCCTTACGCACGGCAGTGAACAGCCCGCACCTTTCACAACGAATGGCGCGGTGGTTGTCATTCTTTGCAGAATACAACTTTACGGTCGAGTACAAACCAGGACGACTTAATGTCGTCGCTGATGCACTCTCACGTCGTCCCGACTTTGAAACAGTCGCGAAACCCAACAGTGAGACAGTCACTGTTGCGGTTATGACGTCCTCAGTTCCATCTACAACGTTGTATGATGATGTGAGGCGGGCATACGCCCAAGATGGTGAGATAGTGAAGTTGTTGTCACATCTCTCCCAACCATCTCGAGAATCGTTGAAACGATTGTCGTCTGCGTATCGATCTGCATCAGATCGATACACTACTCGTAACGGTTTACTGTACTATACAGCCGTTTCTGGTGACACACCACGTGTTGTCATTCCAGATGATACTGATCTGCGTTTGCGGATCATGTTCGAGTATCACGATGCTCCTATAGGAGGACATCGTGGCCGAGAGAAAACATATCTCACGGTGAGGCGAGACTTTTACTGGCCCCGCCAGTATCA